ATACACATAAAATATAGTTAAAATAGTTACACTGTTTCAGTTCATTGAAAACATAGGTTTGTGTTAATATTATTTGGACAATTAAAGGCTGATATCTTGTACTCTAATTTAAAGATAACAATATGCAATGTATTAACCATTGTTACCCTCCTATCATGTTGCTTTGGAATCTAAAAAAAAAAAAAATTTTTTAGTAAAAAGTCGTATAAAATTTCTCCCAAAGTCAGTTTTTCCACTTGCATAGTACTTTGTACTTTTTGCGAAACAGTTTTATTCATGCTACCTGATTCATATATCTTTCTGTGACAAAGAAAAAGTTATCTCTGTAAGGAGGAACTGGTATCTACAGGTATAGGGAATCAAGCCTCATTGTCCACTCTTTAGTGACAGCAGAGCCAAGATTAGAGGCAAGGAATCAGGAATAAGATGCACTGTCCACTGTACACAGTTTTCCTCTGAGCATGCAAGTTGTGCAAGGACCTGCTGGTAAAGTATTCTCATTTGTAAAATGAAATTCAGTGGATTCTCTTACTTACATAATTTCTATTCTACCGCTCCTCTAATTGCCACATTTTTGGTATCTTTTATCAACATGAAAAATAGACTGAGGGAAAATCAGGAATGTACATTTGAATCATGCCATTTGACAAGAATCCCAGATGTATCAAAAGTATAATTTCTACTTGTCCTCACACAGCAGTTTCACTATTTTTTCTTTTTCCTTATTTTGTTTTTTATTTGTATCTACCTATATTTATATTTATATTTTGAGGGAGGAGCTTTTTTGAGACAGGGTCTTGCTGTGTCACTCAGGCTGGCCTTGAGCTCACTATTTAACCCAAGCTGGTCTTGAACTTGCAACAGTCCTCCTGCCTCGGCCTCCCAAGGGCTGAGATTGCAGGCATGTGCCACCACATAATTTTTTTTTTTTTTGAGACAGGATTTCACTATATAGTTCAGGCTGGCCTTGAGCTCACTGTGCACCCCAGACTGGCGCCAAACTTTTAGCGATTTTCCTGCTTCACTGTCTCCAATGCTTGGATTACAAATGTGTGCCACCACACCCAGCAGCAAAGATTTTTAATCTCTAAAAGAAAACAATTGGGCTGGTGAGATGGCTCAGTGGTCTAAAGCACCTACTTAGAACAAACTAAGCCAAGCAAAGCACAGGGACCGCGGTTCAATCCCCCAACACCACATGCCAGCCAGCCCCGCCCCCTGGTGGGCTGAGCTGGCCACACACACTAAATAAATAAATAATTTAAAAAAATAAATAAATAAAAATAAAAGAAAAGAAAACAATTTCCAACCCAGACTGTTATATCCTGGTTAATTAGCCTTCAGAATCAATAGAGAAGACAAGGTTTTCCATGACAAATCCTGAAGAGCATGACAACTAAATCAGCAGTGCAGAAAATACTTCAAGGAATTCTAGACAGAGACTGGGAGGCCTCCAGCACCAAAGAATCCAAAGGAAAGTATACATCTACTTAGGAGGATAGTTAAAAGGTGTATTGGAGGTGGGGGAGTGTTTCTCATTTAACAACAAAGTCCAGTGACTAGCTCATTAATTGAATTGGTTGCTAAATGAGGAACTACATATATACACTGCAGTATTCAGAACAAAGAAAACAACTTTCAGCCAGGCATGATGGTGCATGCCTATAATCCCAGCACTTTGAAGGCTAAGAAAGGCAAGAGTGTATGTTCCAGTCAAACCAGTTGGCTAACAAGAATCTCAGATGTTATCAAAAATATAATTTCTGCTTATCTTCACACAGTAGACAGGCTGAGGCAGGAAACCAGCTTGGACTACATAGTGAGACCCTGTCTCAAAAAAAAAAAAAAAAAAAGAAAAAGAGGGTTGGCAAGATAGCTCAGCAGACTAAGCCACCTGTTTAGGCAAGCTCAGGAACCACAGTTCGAACTCTGGCACCACATGCCATGCCATACCAGCCTGCCCAAGCACGCTAAACCGGCCACCAATACCAGGCTTCGTAGTGCACACGTATAATCCCAGCACTAGGGATGGTGAAAACAGTAGGATCACTATAAATCCAAGCTGCATGGTGAGACCCTGTACCAAATACATTTAAAAAGAAAAGACTCCAACTTCATGACTTGACTTTTTTTTACGTAACTCTTAGATACAGTATTATAATGTATAACAACATAAAATTACAGT